CTTCCCTATGAAGTTTGAACATTGTGGGCCAAACGGAACTTAAGTTATGCTCCGGAAAACCAAATTGCTAACGGACAAATTGCTAACGGACGGAAACTGTTTTCAGTATCAAGGTAATAGTGACCTTGACCTTTTGACCCAAAATCAATAGGGGTCTTCTACCAATATGGACAATCATCCTATTGAAGTTTGAACATTGTGGGTCAATAGAACTTAGTTATGCTCCGGAAACTGTTTTCAGTTTTAAGGTAATAGTGACCTTGACCTTTGACCTTTGACCCAAAATCAATAGGGGTCTTCTACCCAACATGGGACAATCATCCTATGAAGTTTGAACTTTGTGGGCCAAATGGAACTTAAGTTATGCTCCGGAAACCAAATTGCTAACGGACGGAACTGTTTTCAGTATCAAGGTAATAGTGACCTTGACCTTTGACCTTTTGACCCCAAAATCAATAGGGATCTTCTACCTAATATGGACAATCATCCTATGAAGTTTGAACATTGTGGGCCAAATGGAACTTAAGTTATGCTCCGGAAACCAAATTGCTAACGGACAAATTGCTAACGGACAGAAACTGTTTTCAGTATCAAGGTTATAGTGACCTTGACCTTTGACCTTTTGACCCCAAAATCAATAGGGATCTTCTACCCAATATGGACAATCATCCTATGAAGTTTGAACATTGTGGGCCAAATGGAACTTAAGTTATGCTCCGGAAAACCAAATTGCTAACGGACAAAATTCGCTAACGGACAGAAACTGTTTTCAGTATCAAGGTAATAGTGACCTTGACTTTGACCCCAAAATCAATAGGGGTCTTGTACCCCAATATGGACAATCATCCTATGAAGTTTGAACATTGTGGGGTCAAATGGAACTTAAGTTATGCTCCGGAAACTGTTTTTAGTTTTAAGGTAATAGTGACCTTGACCTTTGACCTTTTGACCCCAAAATCAATAGGGGTCTTCTACCCAATATGGACAATCATCCTATGAATTTTGAACATTGTGGGCAAAATGGAACTTAAGTTATGCTCCAGAAACCAAATTGCTAATGAACAAAGCTAATGGACGGAAACTGTTTTCAGTATCAAGGTAATAGTGACCTTTACCTTTTGACCCCAAAATCAATAGGGGTCTTCTACCCAATATGGACAATCATCCTATGAAGTTTGAACATTGTGGGTCAAATAGAACTTAAGTTATGCTCCGGAAACTGTTTTCAGTTTTAAGGTAATAGTGACCTTGACCTTTGACCTTTTGACCCCAAAATCAATAGGGGTCTTCTACCCAACATGGACAATCATCCTATGAAGTTTGAACTTTGTGGGCCAAATGGAACTTAAGTTATGCTCCGGAAACCAAATTGCTAACGGACGGAAACTGTTTTCAGTATCAAGGTAATAGTGACCTTGACCTTTGACCTTTTGACCCCAAAATCAATAGGGATCTTCTACCTAATATGGACAATCATCCTATGAAGTTTGAACATTGTGGGCCAAATGGAACTTAAGTTATGCTCCGGAAACCAAATTGCTAACGGACAAATTGCTAACGGACAGAAACTGTTTTCAGTATCAAGGTTATAGTGACCTTGACCTTTGACCTTTTGACCCCAAAATCAATAGGGATCTTCTACCCAATATGGACAATCATCCTATGAAGTTTGAACATTGTGGGTCAAATGGAACTTAAGTTATGCTCCGGAAACCAAATTGCTAACAGACGGACGGACGGACGGACGGACAGACGCCAGGGGGTATAACATAATATGCCCTTTCGGGCATATAAAAATCAAGTAAGTTGGGCTGCAAGAAAAAAGCACTTCACAGTCTCTTGTAATCCAAGTGTATAGACATAGTTGAGGTATGCATACAAATAAATTGCTATATCATACCTTGTGATTAGGATTTATGTCCACAAGCAGGGGTGGGATCATATTGGAAATCTCCTGCTTCGACACAAAGCCCTGAAAACAAAACATATCAGCATTATTATTATAATTTTTATATAATATCTTATTAGTGTTCAAGATTTAAAGAAGACATCTCACAAGCACTGACTTCATTTAATAAGACCATTAATTCATGTATGTTTGTGCCATTATTTACTTGAATAAACATCGTCCATGATCCCCCGAAAAACAAGAGCTGTCACAGGAGACAGCGAAGCTCGACTAATAAAATGCTGGACGCAGTAAGGAGGACAAAACTATGAAAGAAAAATCAATTATGTATAATTAAGTATTAAGTTATATTAGTAATAAATATATCATTTGTTAACATCAATTCCAAGATCAAGGGGAATAATTCTAGAAATAGTCATGCAAGAGTTATGGACCTTGCCACACAACATTTGTGTAATGATAAGAAATATATATTTGAAGTTTGAAGTAGATATCTTAAAAAATAAAGAAGTTATTATATTTCTTAAAGAAAATCCTAAGTTAAAAGAGAGATAAATCTGTAAATATTGCTTCAAGAGTTATGAACATTGTCACATAAAATGTAAATGATTATAAGGAATAAGTATTTGAAGTTTGAGGTAGATACCTTTAAAAATAAAAAAGTTAAAATAAAAATAACATTTTTCTAGTAAATAAATCTAAGTTTATGGGGAGATAATTCTTGCAATATTGGTGCTAGAGTTATGAACCTTGTCACATAAGATGTGGATGATGATAACGTAAATATATTTGAAGTATGAAGTTGATCCCTTTAGAAATAAATAAGTTACAGTAAAAAATAATATTTTGTATGGAAAATTCTAAGTTCAAAGGGAGATAAATCTAAAAATATTGGTGCTAGTTATGAACCTTGTCACATAAGATGGGGATGATGATAATGTAAATATATTTGAAGTATGAGGTTGATCCCTTAAGAAATAAAGAAGAAACAGTAAGAAATAGTATTTTTTGAGGAAAATTCTAAGTTCAAGGGGAGATAAATCTGAAAATATTGGTGCTAGAGTTATGAACCTTGTCACATAAGATGAGGATGATGATAAGGTACATATATTTGAAGTATGAGGTTGATCCGTTAAGAAATAAAGAAGTATCAGTAAAAAATAGTATTTTTTAAGGAAAATTCTAAGTTCAAGGGGAGATAAATCTGAAAATATTGGTGCTAGAGTTATGAACCTTGTCACTTAAGATGTGGTTGATGATAAGGAACATATATTTGAAGTTTGAAGTTGATACCTTAAGAAATGACAAAGTTATAGTGAAAAATATTTTACTGCACCAAAACTTTAATCTAAAATCTGGACGCGGACGCCGACGCCGGGGCGAGTAGGACAGCTCTCCATATACTTCGTATAGTCGAGCTAAAAACTTTTTGTAATTTATATCTGATCTGTCAAAAGCATTATCAAAATGAAATTTGCATTTTACAAGTAAAATTTGTGATAATTGAAAATTTGTGATAAATAACAGCATGGAAACACTGGAAATTTCAACTATTGTATTTTTAGCACAAGTTGCCTGAAATTCCCAGTACAAGGGAAAACAATAAAACATTCCCTTTCTACAGGTATTTTTCCCCTGAAACAGAGAGGGAGTATCCTGAAGATTCTACTTACAGCTTTGTCTTCTTGGACTACAAAGTTACTAATTGGTTTCAACTCTGGACACTGATGGAATGTCTTCTGGTCCACATTTGTTTTCCAGGCTAGCTGTTTCGGGTACCTATTGACAATAAGTTTTTTGTGGTAAGGTTTAATTCAGTTAACTTAATATTGTTCCAAAAATCAGTATATGCAATCCGTTCTGTAATTAAAGCTAAGGAGTGTAAGAAGCTATGGTTTCTTTTATCTAGACTGTACAGAAGTATAACAATTGTGAAAGAAGGGCAACATTGTTGCAATATACGCCTGTCACAGAAGCTTTTGACAGAAATGTATGCATTATAGATATGCATATAGGAGATATTCTCTGGGCAATATCCGGATATATATCTGGAAATATTATCATCTCTAGTGATTATTTTATTTTTGACCCCTATGTGTGACTGCAGGGACCTAAATTTTGCATGCGACACTCTGCCTAACAATAGTGAACATTAGTGCAAAGTTATATTGAAATCCCTCTATGCATGTAGAAGTTTTGCTCAAGACAAGCATTTTTCTACGACCTTTAAGTTTGACGTAGTGGCCTGGTTCATGCGCGCGACAAGGCTTCTCATAGTGGTGAACACTTGTATGAAGTTTCATTAGAATCCCTCTGTATGTGTAGGAGATAATTATGTTCTGGACAAAATCTCTATATTTTATCATCTCAAGTGACCTTGACAATCATCTTTAGTAACCTTGACATTGCATATATTAACCTCAATTACATGTTTCACACCAGTAGTCATGATAATGACCATTTGTGTTTAAATCCCTCAATAAATGATGACTAAATGGTCCGAATACACATTTTCATATTTTAATCTGAACTTTGACCCCTATGTGTGACCTTGACCTTGGCCGCAGGGACCTAAATTTTGCACGCAACACTCCGTCTAACAATAGTGAATTTGTGCCAAGTTTTATTGAAACCCCTCAATGCATGTAGAAGTTTTGCTCCGGACAAGCGTTTTTCAATGACCTTGATCTTTGACATAGAGGCCTGGTTCATGTGCATGACACGGCTTCTTACAGTGGTTAACATTTCTATTAAGTTTCATTAAAATACCTCCGTGTGTGTTGGAGATATGCTCCGCCATGCTGCCTGCCCGCCAGGGAGAATCTATAATACGACCAGTTTTTGAAACGGGCGTATAAATTTTTATTAAATTTTATTAAACTAAATACAAGTATTGATATATAAGTGCTTTAAGTCAACATACCCCCCCCCCCCACCTTCTTTTAGGAATGGTGACGGTACAAGTTGTGAAAAATGAATCTTCTCTATTCAAATTGGGAATTTTACATAATACACCAGGGTATTCATGGAAAGTTTGTTTTACCAAGGAAGTAATGAGAATTATGCATACAAACTGCGTTAAAAGGTTTATTAACAGACACTTATAAACTGAAATTTTTTTTTCCCCCGATATGATTTCTAGACTTAATAGACTTTGAAAACTGCACTTGTGGACAATGGTGCCAAAAGCATAGATCACAAGCTACTAAATTAAGAACAATATTTGAAGTATTTAAACAAAAATCTCACACATAAAAACAACATAAGATACATACCATGGTAAGGGGGTGACTTCAAATGGCACATCGTTCACACTTACATTTGCAACCTTAGGGAAAACACTATTTCTGAGAAACTCCCTTAACACTTCAGCTTGACTGAAAAAGATTATGACATTATAAAACCGTATTTCTTATATAGCATTAAACAAAATTTTATTAAACCGTTTTGCCGCAAATACCTAGTATGCAGAGATCTGCCAAGAATTTGAAAGTACTGGGCCCTGGGCCCACTTGGTCTGAAAATGACGGGCCATTTTTACCAAAGTATGGGCCTTGGGAAAATAAGTAAACATTGACCAAAATAACTGTTAAAAAGTTTGTAGATACATGTAATTGAATTTCCCCGGTAATAAAACTTAAATCATATTTTATGACAAGTGGTTCACTTATAATTCAGTACTTTATCAATAATTAAAAATTATGCCTACATGGTAACTTTCTAACTAATATTAATTGCAGGCAAAAATGAAAATATTTTTTTAATGGCTGCTCAAAAATTTGATATGCAAATTTATTCACATAATTGCTGGTTCTTACTTGTAATGTCTTACATTGTGCATTATCCATTTAATTGTTCCTACTTTGCACAAAATGTCCCTTACCAATGTATATTGACGAATTTTATTGCCCCTTGTATGCCTCTGTGTAGAGACAGCATACATCAAAGACATTTGCCGACAGACCTTTTGATCATGAAAAAAGTCATGCACAATGTTTCTCTGATTGGTTAATCACCCTGTCAAACATTCTGATGACGAAATATACATCTTTTTTTACACTTCATCAGCCAAAACTTGCGTGAACTTGAGTGACCTTAGGGTTGATCAAGTTGAACACCTGTCAGATTATACTGTAACTTACAGCATTTCTTAAAATAGCAACACTTTTTTTACAGTTACCGATAATCATTTTAAATATTAAGTAGTTGTATAATTTGTTTGTTTGTTTTATTGGATTAAATTTACGGTAGTAGAAATGAGTATCTGTGTGGGAAAGGGATTATGAGAAGAAATGCGGTAAGTAGATAACAAGGACAAAAGCTATAGGGGAATGGATAAACTAAAGAATATGCGTAATTACAGGAGCATGGGTAACATGTTGCTGTTGGTACCAGTTTTGACTGGATGACTAAATAACCCAGCAGACAGTTTTGTTTTCTTATAAGTCTGGCACAGATTTTAGATGCGCCCATGGCCCTTTGCTGCCGATTTTCCTGCGCCATTCTCATTTTTTTAGCGCCAATGGCGCAAAATCGCGTCCTCGGCAGATCTCTGAGTATGTATAACTTATTATGAGGCAGTGATTTTTCACCTGGTATAACAAATAAGGCCTCTTCTTAATTGAAATTCTCTTTAAAATCATGCAGTTTTTCCCAAAATCTAAACTTACACAAGTTTTTTATTTCCTAAATCAGCAATTTTAATGATAAATTTTCCCCAAATTCAAGGCCTGTACCCAATTAAGTGATAAAAACCACACTGTGAGGACAATCTTGTTTCTTTTCTCTGAATTTAGCCCAGTCATTCACTCCTTGACTATGGCTTGTGACTTCCGATTGTAATGCTTTTCCTTAATTATCTACATAATGTTAAGGCAATAATTATACAGTCTGATTGTCTTCAGAATGTTTAAACTTAATAGAAAACTTTGAATATGTTCGTGATTTGAAAGATGCACAGTTAAAATGCGTAAAATACCCAAGAGTTCCTGGTTTTCCTTCAAGGACATTGTTGATCTTTCTATGATTTTCACAGATTCTGAAGGTGAATGGCAAGTCTGTAAACAAACTTGTGAAGAAATGTTTCCACTCTTCCTCTGGTACCAAGCCAATACCCTATTGAAAAGAAAAAATCATTTAGTGTTATTGATTACAAAAGAACAGGATTTTTACAATTAACAAAATAAGATAGTTAATGATGTTACAATAACTAGGGCTGGGGCGAGTATCCGAGTACTCGGATAATCACGAATCAAAGTGAAAAATCGAGTTTGAATATTCGTAAGCCCAGAGATCGTGGATTGCGATTTAATTTTTTTATTTACATTCACTGTTTCTTACACTCTTCAAATCGAGAAAAATACGATTTTAGTATAAATTATATGAAGTTTCCCTAAATACAATTTGCCAGTTAAAGACCATGTACCATGATGCTGAGCTAGGTAGTGATTGGTTTCAAAAAACAAAACAAAAATACTCATCCAAAGAATAAATACATAAGCAAGGTTTATATTTTATATGTTAAATGTATAGTATTGTTGCTGTTTTTTTAAATGAACATGTTTTTATATTTTTTGTACATGTTTTTTATGGGTGGCTTGATAACAAAAGATTTGTCATCATTTGTGGTTCGATTTGTGAATCGTAAGTGCTGAATCATGATTCAGATCGGATTGTCACTTATCGGACGATCCACACCCCTAACAATAACACATATATAACCATAATGTTACCTTAAACAAGATTAGGGTTGACAAACACTTTTCAGCTTCCTTCAAGAATTTTCTATATAAATATCATATCTATATAGACAAGATAAGGAAGGTTTCAGATAAAATATCAAGATGAAGTAAATTGAAATCAGATTTTGCCGGCCTTGTAATTACTCGAAAATTTTAACCTACTTTCAGTCACAAGAGTTGTGATATTAAACATAACACAAGACAATTTTATTGTGACAAGTAGATTCTTATATGAAGATTCATCTCAATTACCTTGTAGTATTTTATAAAGGTTGACATCAGATTCTCAGCATTTTGCACTGTGACACTTTCAGCTTGGCTGGCCGGTGTTTGTGGCTACAACAGAAAAAACAATAACATACAAGGCTTTTTCCCCTTCTATAACAGGGGCCGATATAAGGCCCCTTCACAATTCAAAATTGCACTTTTTTTCACAAAGTGGCGGCAAAAAATTCACAATTTCAAAAGAAATTTCACAAAATATCTGGACTTTGTATTTGAAATACATTGGTAACCCTCCAGTTAAACATGATTTACGCCAATTTCAAAAACACAGAAATAGTTTTAATCAATTTAAATGGTTTAAGCACCTGTTAAGTGGGTTAAAGTACCGTCTTGAAGACATATTCCGGTTTCATAATGTCGCTTAATGCCAAAATTAATATGTATTTTTTTTCCACAATTTTATGACAAAACACGCTTTTTTCACAAAATGAACAGGTCCAGACCCTTTCACAATTTTGACAAATAATGCCCTGTATAACATCTAACTTTGACACTTTTATCAAGATTACAATGCTTTCATTACTTTAATACATATTCCAAAATGCAGAACATCCATAACTTTATATGTTGCTTTTATTTTGACGTTGTGTGACAGTAAAGTTATGGGTCAACCCTATTTGCAAAGGCTACCAGAATTTGGCCGTTCATGTGCTGTACATAAAAACCTATTATAATCACTCTTTTTAATGAAATTTGGCTCAAAAAAATAAATTACCATTTGGTGAACAGATCAATTTTGAATTGATTCAGGTTTTGTTTTTAAATGAAACTTTTATGACATTGTGTACCTAACTGTTTGTTAGAGAATTATCTAGAGAATGTTTACCAATATGGAGTCTGCTTTCAAATGAGATCTCGCAGGACTTCAAGTTTTGGAAATTCTAGCATCTAATTTTAGTAATGGACCATATACTATTTTTAGTAAGGATACAATTATAAATAAAAACAAACAAATAATTCATGAACTATCACTCAAAAAAATAAAAATCCAACATGTTTTTGGTACAATGTCTGTTATTGAATAAATACACAGTTATTCATAATTGCAAAGCCATGTTTTCAATTAAAAATTAGCATTTGGGTCACGGGTCACCAAATGTTATGCAAAGTATCAGAACCTAAATTCTCGCTGGTCACGTGATAAATAGGGCAGCAATGACGGCGAATTTTATGAAATGTGAACCCACTGATAAACTTTGAGGCATTTTTTCATCAATCTAATGTTTTGTGTTCAAAAATACAGACTGAGGTGTCCCAAATATATCTAACTACCTGTATTCAAATAGCTTCTCAGTGACCTAACTCGGAAATAACTCGAGACATTTTCAGATATTCTAAAAAAAATATTTTTTACGCCGAGCATTCGTATGCGCCTAGCATTGGTCCAACCACTCTAGTTTATCCAGATTGATGGACTCTGTCTGGGAATCAAAACATTCATGATCAAAGCGGCCATTTTTCCATTTACCCACAAATTTTCTCGGCGGGCACCTGGACTCATATTCCTTTTGTTTCGCTTTTTTTACTTCATTGGATAGTTTACGATTTTTGCCGAGCGTAGTGCCAGCGTAATAATGTAGTAACACCGACATTTTGGTTATTGACAGTTGTATGTATCTAGAATTTGATTGGACACTTATAATGAAACGGCAAATCAAAACTCGTTTTACATTTTTTTACTCAAGGGAGAAAACTCGGCCTTGATCGGTCTTGGATATATCCCGGTATTCGTACCGGACATAAGGTCCGGAACTCCGGAAAAAATATCGGACCGGTCTGATTTTTGCCGGACATGTCCGACAACTTTCGCGAAGCCTGCGCCCGTCCAAAATTATCTTGGTGTCTCTTTGACAAGTCTAATTAGTTGGACTAATAGAAGAGATAACCGTGATCTGGTCGTTTCTTGCAGCAGCGTTCTTGTTTGTTCCGCATGACGTTTTTGTTTCGTTGGGGGCCTTATATCTTTATATACACATATAGACCGATTATGTAAAATATTTGATTATGTGACAAGCGCCGTAGGGCTTTCTAGAGGAGATTTTATATTAAACGAGGAATCTGTAAAAAACTTGCCAAATAATACCTCTACATCATATGACTTTTCAAAAAAGAACATATATTCTTGCAAAGTGGCGTTACAGTAGAGAAATGGCACTTAAAACTCTTATAATTGATTTATTCATATGTGCATAAATTAAAACCAAAATGGCGGCGACACTTTGCCGGCATATTAAAAGAGATAATAACTCGTTTAACAGCGTTTCTTTAGATATTAACTCCTCCTATTTATGTAAGAATTCTTAAACTGTAAATAAAAATACAATAAGTTACCTTCTTCTTTGGCTTTTGAGGCATTTTTGTTATAGTTTTATGTTTTTTCACCGAGAACAAAGCGTGCTCGCGAAGTCACCTGGATCTAAATTCTGTCCACTTCCGTAGAATTCATGATGGATTGGGAAAATACTGAAAACCGGGATCCGGAATCTATGTAATGATTTTATTCTGATTTTTGGAGACGGTGCACACTCATGCATTCTCACTTAAGTACGACATACCATGTCTTCAATGTTCTATGCAAATTGGTTGAAGTATATAAGCGCGAACATTCCTGTGAAATGTTTAAACAATTGACTGCATCGGTACCTGTAGATGGATACCATAATATGCTATTTTCGCGAAAATAAGGTTGTGGCTTCGAAAAAAAAAATTGAAATAGTGCATTTATCTGTTGAAATAATTATGTAAGTTATATATATTCATGCATTCATTGAATGATTTTACAGCAAATTAAAATTATAGAACAATAAAAAAAATAATAAAAAAAAATGAAGTTTGAGCCGAAAATTATTCTCGTACGAGAATAGCTCAAAGAGAAAATAAAATCGGGTCTACTAAATAAGATTTATTTTTGATATGTTTTGCATACAATTTCGTACTGCAAAATGAACTGCCAACATCGTCAGCGTAGGTGTCATACATACATGGTGGGTCCACAGTGGGGATCAAACCACTGTGTGTTGATAGTTTGCACCAGCTCTTTTCATCTCTTCTGAGCCACAACCAACAAGATGCCTTTTCAGCTGCACTACTGACTGAGCAGAAGTCCTACTTTTTCTGATGGCCAGTTATTCCTATCTCGGTCAGCATCTTCCACATTTAATTAGATGGGAAGCCCCTTGTACCGACTTCTATTTGGAAAAGCCTCGTTTTTCATCCTTTCTTTCTACAGTCTCCAGTTAACTGGGTGTACTTGGCTGATTTGCGTTCGTAGGCCTCGTCACACCTCTCTTCCCAAGGTACCGTCAGTTCAATGAGCACAATTTTCTTGTCCGGGGGGGGGGGGGAATAATACTATGTTTGGTCGCAGAGTTGTCTGGACCACTTCTGGGAAAACAAATCGCTTTTCCAGGTCTACTTTCATCTCCAAGGTCTTTGATGACTGCAGGACCCCACATTTTTGTGCTCTAGTAGATCCGGCTTGGCCCTCGCGAACAAATGAAACTCCTGTCTCTTTCTGAGGGAGTTTTCTATGCTTCTTCCTTTCCCTCTCAGGGGTATGTGCTAACTGCCTCAAGACTCTATCGTGCCTCCACCTATAACGGCCTTTTGACAGCCCTGTTGAGCAAGAACTAAGAACATGCTCCAGTGTTCCTCTCTTGCCACATAAAGTACACGATGGATCATCGGTTAGTTTCAAGCAATGGAGATTAGCTGGTGTCTGTAGAACATTGTACACGCTGCGGAGAAGGAAGCAGCTGCTTATACGAACTGGCTCCATCTGCTAGATATCTGACGAGGTGAGTTTTATCTGTACTAGTTATGCCATCCTTTGCTCCTCTTCACCATTCCTAATCTCAGCCTGGATCATCTGTCTTGTTTGGATAATGTTGAGTACCTCTGACGTTCAAGCATTCCAATGCCTAGGTGCCAGCTTGTTTGAGTCGTGACTCAGCTGATTCTACTGCTTGGCTGACTGACCTCTTTTCAACAAGTCCTTAGCTCGATACCGTCTCCTCGAATGCATTCACCAGGAGAGTCCCTTTAGTGTCATTGGTAAGCTAGCCTTGGAGACCTTGAACTTTTCAACCAACGAAGAGACTGGTAGCTGGAGTTCCCCTGTTGCAATGTACAGACCTAGGGTTGTGATACATTACGGGAGGCCAAACCACTTACGACTGTGCTTGTTAATCTGACGCTCTAAGGATCTGCTGTTGATATTGTAAGCCTTGGTAGTAGCGAGTGTTGGTAGATCCACACCTTAAACTTTCCTCGAAGTCACGTCTTGTCTATAGTCTTCAGATTCTGGCTCAGTCTAACCTGGAGCTGGTTGATAGCTTCTTTGTCCTTAAGGGTAGCACCAAACCACTCCCCAAGGCACTTGATAGGATTGTCTATAATGTTCGGGATGTCTTCGCCTTGAATCCTAAGGTCCAAATATGGCAGTATCTTCCCCTTCCTGAGTACAAGGTACTGTGAACCAAGAATCCATCCTGCTTGGATGTGGGATTCTGTGGTTATGGTTAGTCGTCCATAAACCTTCTGGTTGGAGGCATCCTGATGCCAGATAAAATCTTGGGACCCCTTGTCTCCTGTTCTGCTGTCTTCAAGATGAGATTCATTCCAAGGACAAATAAGATGACTGAGCATTCTGTATCTATACCCCTTTCTACCTTGATCCGGTCAGTGGTAAAGTCTGGAGTAATGAATCTAAGACGAACATTGCTGTAGTAAATTCGTATCAGCATTTTTATTTTGTCTAGGATATGATAGTGGTCCATGACATGATCAATCACCTTGTGTGGAATAGATCCATATGCGTTGGCAAGGTCTAACCAAACTGCTCTGAGGTCACTGTTACTTACGCCTGCTTCTCTGATGAGCTGTGTAATGGCTGCGGTATGTTCAAGACATCATGAAAAGCCTGGAATGCCACCCTTCTGGACTGCGGTGTTGACATAATCATTTTCTGTCACGGAGGCAGATATCCTCTTGGCGACAATTGAGAAGAATATCTTGCCCTCTTCACTCAGCAAGGATATTGTTCGGAACTGGCTGATATTTTCCGACTTCTTGTCCTTAGGTGTTAGGCATCCTTCTGCGTCCTTCCAGCAATCAGGTACTGTTCCTTTACGCCAGACGATCTTGATGAGGTTCAAAAATTCTTCAACAGCTTAGGGCAGTTCTTCAAGACCTTATAAGGGATCCCACCTGGTCCCGGGGCTGACCCGGCTCGGACCTTTCTCACTACCCCATGAACTTCTCTCAGTGTTAGCTCAGTCAACGCGAATGGGTGTGTAGGTGGGTTCACTAGGTGGATCTGCGAGCATTCCCCTAATGGTTGTTCTCTCTGGGAGTCAGCGTGTGCTGTTCTCAGGTACTCCTCGGTTTCCTCTTTGCTGCTTGTCAATCTTCCTGACTTCTCATCCGTGAGCAGGGTTTGGGAGAACTTTTGTGGGTTGGAGATAAACGCTGCTCTCTGTCTCTCTCTTGTCTTCCTGCATTTCCTTAGCCTCTTAGCTGTGGTCAGGCTCTTTAGCTTCTTTCTGATGATGTCTTTTAACTCGCTGAGACCAATCTACTCCTGTTCACTCGCTCTTTTATACTGCTTTCTTAATGAACGCAGTTCTCTTCTGAGGCGCTTTATCTCGATTTGGCTTGAAGGGCTTTAGGGCTTTCCTCTCTTGAATGCCAAACCTTTCCTTCTCAACTGCATATGTGATAGCTGAGAGTATACGTATTTTCCTGTCTACTTCACCTTGGAGGGTTACACTTAGAATGGTATCAAGGTCACCATCAAACAGCTGCCATGATTTCTTGTCTCCCTGTGTAGGCTTCCGTTCTGTAGTGGGTTGTTTTCTGGGTGTTGATGTCTGTGTTGCTCGCGTCTGCATCTAACATATCTGACAAGTTAAGATCCTGGCTGTCCACCCCTTCATCATGAGCTTGAATGTCTTCAGCACTATGGTGACTATCCTGGCTGGAGTCTGCCTGCATCTCACTTAGGTGTGAACCTTTGCGCTGCTCATGCTGTAGATGCTGACCGCACTTCGATCTGGCTTGGTGGATCTTCAGTATCCTGGCGTTTTAACACACCTTTCCACACTTGCAAACATTGATGCGATCTGCCCAGTCAGTGTCCGTTGTATAAGTCCAGTTGTCTCTTGAATCTGTGCTGGTGAGCCTTTCATCCTCCCCTTCTCGGAAGGCTCCGGGGTCGTTGTTTGTTAATTCTGTCTGTAGCTGGTCTGTAGGTGTCTCGGATGAGACATGTAACATGGGCTGCTTACCCCTCCTACCCCGGTGCCTGTCTTTCCAAGCTGTCATCTGTCTATTCCAAATGTCTATTTAATATTTTTATAAGATCCGTGAATATGAAAGTTGCATGAAAATAATATCCTTACGAAAATAAGATCTATACGAAAATAATACAAATGTCTTTGTATGAACGAAAAAGGGATCAAAATCTGTAAACAATAAGATATTTATATGAAAATAAGATATCAATATGGAAATGATTTTTACCAAAGATATTTGAAAATACGTGTATAATTTAATATGAAAATAATAAAAGAAAAGTATAAAACTTCATTGCTTTAAGTGCTTTAATTAGATAATGCATGAACAAGATATTTCTATTTGAGAGAAGGAAAATAAATAACACAACGTATGGCATGTGCACAAGACTGTCGGTAGCAATCAATGCGCTAATAAGATGATTGGATTATATTGGGTTTCCGTTCTTATCGTAATAATTATTTACACACTTTTTCATATCCTTTTGATAAAGATATTATTATCATACAAATATTTTTTTCGTATAAATCTTATTCCTATACAGACATTATTTTCGTACAGATCTTATTTTCGTATGAATCTTATTTTCACAAGGATATTATTTTCACCACAGCTTTTATTTTCACATATCTTATTTTCTTAAAATTTTTAGTAAAAAACAGAAATTATTTTCACACAGATCTTATTTTCATATAGGTCTTATATTCGTGCGTATTATTTTCGTACATATCTTATTTTTTCGTATAGATCACATTTTCTTTATGATCTTATTTTCGTACATGTAGTATTTTCATACAGGTATTATTTTTTACATATATTAAAGATTTTATTTTCGTAGAGTACTGTTATTATTTTATTTTCGTATGGTACATATTCTTATAAAGATCTAGATCTTATTTTCGTAGTTGTTGTTTCAGGTTAACTTTGCTATAATTCTTTCTTTTATTTTGATACTTTTCACCACAAACATTTCTTGTCTTATAAGAAAACATTTACTTCTTAAAACTTTTTTGCAAAATCATTTGAAATAAAGTTATTACTATTTAAATATAAGTTATGAACTATGTAAATCTTATATATTTTCGTAGATGTACTCTTGGTTATATGTTCATGCGTTCTTTCTATACTTAATTGGAATATTACCACATTTGCTGCTCAAACGTCTAATATTTCATTACAAAACATTTCATTCCTTAT